TATATATATATATATATCGCTTTCAAATCGCTTTTCAACTCGTGTTTATTTTCTACGACAATCAAACAATTCTATATATTTCAATCTTGACTTTCTTAATCATGATGCGTCAAATTTCGATAACTTTCGTTGTTTTGACTTTGCTTAAATAATGCGACTCCTGAAATGTGAATACTTTTTCGTAATACTCTTTTATAGTATATACATCGTTTTGGAAGTTATACAACATGGAAGGATTAAAACTTTTTTGTTTTTTATATTGTCTTTGGCTATATTTTTAGTAATGTTTATTATTAAAAAGTTAATAATTATCCACAATATTTACTAAGCGCTAACAATGCACAACTGATTTGAACTTTTTATGTCCTTTAAGTGAAACTATATAAATCTGTATAAGCAAATGTGCTTGAATTATATATCAAAACCACAGCTTTGAGGAAAGAGTGCTGGCCTCCCATAAGGAATTGTTGTATCAAGTTGGCGACGGTCCAATTATCAATGAGAATGCCTTTCCTTTGCTTGTAAGCTGTTATTGTGGGCTGTTAAAATACGCAAAGTCGAAAAACTGGAAGCATGGGTTTTTGGGAATGTAGTGCATAGTAAATAGAAACTACAGACAAACTACTAAATAATAGACTCGTTATTTTCAGACAAAAATATGAAAAAAGTCTATTTTTTTACGTCGTGTTTCATCTTGCTCTGTGTAAAAATATTACATTTAATACTAGTTTTTTTTCATTAAAAGTGGTTATCGTAAACATACTTGTGTAATGCAATTAACTATCTTTAAATACAATATAAAAATGAGTTTAAATTGTGTTGTGTATAGCAGAAAACAAAGACCAAAAAAATATGGACTCCATGAAAAACAGTTGTTTTTACTTTATTGGTTGAATAGCTGGCTTCTTTTACAATAACATTCTTAGAAATAACTGCTTAGGTGGTTAAATTGTACTTAAGGACAACTAACCGTTAACAAATGTTCTTAAAATTACTGACGCAAGTTTATTACATTATATGTTGTAAGTAGAAATAACAGTAAACTTTTTGTTTTTGATCCTTCAGTCAAGTTCTTTTCACTTTTACTACCTTAAAGTGTTATAGGTACGACATAAAAATGTCTCTAAAACAATAAAGTTCTTTTTCCTCCCCAGGAATTAAATTTTCTTGTTTTATTTATCCAAGTATTAATATCGCCTTTAACAAAGAACAATTTTGATTTTGGGTTTTCAAAAAATCTTTTCTTAACAGTAATTTCTTTCCCCTTACTTTTTATTTTATTAGGATTTGATTTCAAAAGCCAATTAATATCTTCATTTTTTATTTGGCCGTTATTAGAATTACTTCCTGCAGAATTTTCGCATTTGTTGGCTCTTTTTCCACCCCAAGGACTATAACTTCTCTTCCCGCCCCATGCATTGTAACTTCTTTTTCCACCCCAAGGATTGTAACTTTTCTTTTCATCATTGTTGTTTCGTTTTCCTCCCCAAGCGTTATAATTTCTTTTTCCTCCCCAAGGACTGTAACTTCGTTTTCCACCCCAAGCATTGTATTTTCTTTTCCCTCCCCAAGCACTGTAACTTCGTTTTCCTCCCCAAGCGTTATAATTTCTTTTCCCTCCCCAAGGACTGTAACTTCGCTTTCCTCCCCAAGCGTTGTAATTTCTTTTTCCTCCCCATGGACTGTAACTTCGCTTTCCACCCCAAGGACTATAACTTCGCTTTCCGCCCCATGCATTATAGTTTCTTTTTCCACCCCAAGCATCAAAATTTCGGAGATTTCTTAACGTTGATTTGGACTCATTTCTCTCATTTTGGATAATGCGTTTTTTGAAGCAATTGAAACTAGGAGAACATTTATCATTATCTTCCACATCATCAATTAAAGGGATATTAAAATTTCTTTTCCCTGCCCATGGTTCAAAATTTCGAAGATTTCTAAAAGGACTACTTTGAATGTAATTTCTCGACTGATTTCCTTCCTTTTCAATTTCCACATCATCCAAACTCCTACTGTCCCGCAAAAACTCCCCAATTTTTTTTTCTTCCCACGAGCTATAATTTTGAACAATTTTTTGTTCACCCAACTGCTTTGTGTTTTGATTTTGACCTTTTTGATTTTCTTGACCTTCAAATTCAACTAAATAATTATTTTGATCAGAATTAATGTTATTATTTGGAGTATCAATAGCCCAATCTAATTTATTATTGCTTCCAAATGAATTTAAAGCATTATTTTGCTTAAAATTTAATTTATCCTCTTCAACATAAAAGCCCACATCATCATTTAAATTTTTTTTCCCTTTTAAAAGCTCCCTTTTATTTCTTATGTTTGACTTTTTTGAATTTATTAAAAAGTTATTTATTATATACTCATTTAAATCCTTTAATTCCTTAGCAACTAGTCCTTTGTAGTTCCTTCCCCCAGCTAAAAAAATGAAATTCCTTATACGGTTATTAAATTCTGAAGTAATTTTTCCTTCTTGTTCATAATTCGAAATCCCCCTCTCATTTGAATAACTGAAAGGAACCACTTTTGACCTCTTTCCTCCCCAAGGACTATAATTCTTTTTTATTTCAAATTTATCAGGTTCTGTGTCAAATATTTCCATTTGATCAGGAAAATTATTTAAACTTTTACTGTTCCAAGGAATTAACATTTCATCTGCAGTAGGCTTAGCTCCACCCCTTTCAGCATAACAAGATGTTAAACCATTTCCGATATTACAGTCATAATTTCCTGTCTCATCAGAAAGTTCTTGGCTTGTTTCGTCTTCAGAGTCTTCGAATTCATCAACAGATAAAATCTTCCTCTTTTGTGGTTTGGAATTAAAGCCGCCTTGTTCAAAGTCACGTTTACCGCTATTGCTTATTTCTTGATAAGCATTTAAGTTCCTGTTTAAATTTAAAAGTTTGTTTGCTTTTTGGGTATTCTTTAATAATTCAGATCGTTTTCGTCCTGCCCAGGGATCAAACGGTCCCTGGAAATCTGGATCAGATTGATACTTGGAATTGTACAGTAATGGTATCGTTCTCTTTTCAAGAAGATATTGATCTGAATTTCTCTGAGGATATATGAGAACGTTTCCCTCTTGACTTTGGGCTTGAGAAAACTTAGCTGAATAGTTTGGATCGGAACACAGAAAAAGCTGAGTTGAGGATATTATGATCATCAGAGATAAAAAATTCATCATCAACCCTAAAATTAAAAAAAGATAATTTCTAAATTAAATTTAAGGTAATTAATTACTAAATTTTAAATACGTTTAATAGCAATTTGGTTTTAAATTGCAGTTCTTAAATTTAACTTCTTATTATGAGAAGAAATAGCATATCCAAGGTATTTTATAATGACCGCACTTAATATATATTAATAAATTCTTGTTAAAAAACGAAGTAAAAAAAAAGCATTTACATTTGGAGTATTAGGGTAAAAAAATCTGATACACTGTAATTTTTACAGTAATAATTTCCGTAATTTTTCATTTTTCAACCATATTGATCACTGTTTCACTGACTATAATGAGTGATTTGCATTTGTTGGATAACAATTCAATTTTACTTATTTTATAGACATAAAAAAATAAAATTAGTGCCTGGAACACTGTAAAAAATTACGGTATCGGCACTTTGAATATATCATCTGTAAAATCATTTTTACCGTAAAATATTATACCATAATCGTATATCATATCTTTTGTTCCGTAACATGTTCCGGTAAAAATGCATTTTACGGTAAAAAGAAAAGCCACCTTGAGTGCCAGAACTTTTTACCGTAATTTGATCCGGATTTTTTATAGTGAAATGCTCGAAGCTATTAACTCGAAATCGGAAGTATTACTAAATTTTTGATTTCACTAGCATGGGAATTCCAGTGAGAAACCTAATTAATTTAGAACAGTCATCGATCAGGAAACACTCGAAACTGTTAACTCGAAATCAGAAGTACAAGTAAATTTTTAATTTAATTTGCATGAGAATTCTACCTATTATAGAACAGTGATCGATCTGGAAATGCTTGAAACTGTTAACTAGAAGTCAGAAGTACAAGTAAATTTTTAATTTAATTTGCATGGGAATTCTACCTATTATAGAACAGTGATCGATCTGGAAGTGCTTGAAGCTGTTAACTCGAAATCAGAAGTACAAGTAAATTTTTAATTTAATTTGCATGAGAATTCTACCTATTATAGAGCAGTGATCGATCTGGAAATGCTTGAAACTGTTAACTCGAAATCAGAAGTACAAGTAAATTTTTAATTTAACTTACATGGGGAATTCTAAAGAGGAAACTTATTAATTTAGAGCAGTAATCAATCTACAGATACGCGAAATTTTTATTAAATTTTTTATTTTTTATAACCGTCATTGACACAGAAACCAAGTTTCGGTCCTGGTTTGACTCAAAGCGAAAGCTATATCCACCTCGACATATCTGTATGAGATTTCTTTTTCCAGTATGGAATTCATTAAATTATGTACCCACTCTTTAAAGAATACTTGTACCCATTATTCGAATGTATTCCCCCAAGATTATAAGAACTTGTTGATGGCAAAAAAGAGGCTCATTCAAGTTAATTCAATGTAATGTCGTTGAAGTTAATGCAACAGGAATGTGTTCAATAAAATGCATCCTTGTTACATTTTTGAATATTTTATTGAATGCGATTTATTGAATGCTTGGTAAAACAAATCTGTAACAACATTCTATATAATTATGATAACTATACTTCAACTTCTTTCTTACGTACAATTCCATTTCATTTTTTTCCTGTTATGTGCTTAATTAAAATTGACTTTATATATACTAGAGATGTAAGTTGATACGGTTGCTAAGCAATAAACAAAATGCAAGATTTTTTTAAAAGTTAATAGCTCTTTCGGTTGGTAGTTCACGGTAGATTTAAAAACGAAACAGTAACAGTAGTTCTGAAGCTTCATAAGTTTGGCGACCATTAAAAAAAAACAACGTTATATCTCTTCTTTTATATCTATTCCTTTTATCTATTCGATATTAAACACTTAATAAGTTTACAAATATCTATTTGTAAATTTGAACCGTGATGGCTCAGAATATTGAGCCCCCACCTCCCAATGAGGTGACCCGGGTTCGAATGCCAGCGATGACTAGTCGATACGAATTCTATACCCGGCTCGCAACGACCACAGTGCTAAAGTAAAATATCCCCAGTGATAGACGAATCATGTATTAGAGTTTCCTTTGCCATCAGGCTAACCGTGGGAGGTTATCGTGTTTTTCCAATGCATGTAACGCAAATGCGTGTAAATTTCATCAAAAAGTCCCCCATGAAGGCAAATTTTCTTAATACTTGATCCAGCAGTTCCCTTGTCTCCTGGATTGGCTTCAAAATTACAAGCCTACGTAATTGAACATCAGGAGTAGTAAACTCAGAAATTGGGTCAGCTGTTCAACGACGATTATAAAATGTAAAAAATTTGTAGATTAAGGTATTGACTGATATTGTTTCCAATAGATATTCAATGAAATTTTTGAGGCAAATTTAAGAAATTTGACTTCAATTCGGAGCATTTAATCTTAAAATTACGGAAATAGAAATTAATGTCCTTAAGTTTTATGATTCAGGATGAGTATGCTACTATGAGTATCCTACTATGTATGCTATTGATAATAAAGTAAGCACTGGCATTCTACAAAATATCTTTTCTGATGCATTTCACACTTTGCCAGTTTGTTATTTTTCAATCTATCCATAGACTAATTTTTAATCGTTATATATTTTGACTGCCATTTTAAGCATTCTGTAAAATGCCTTGGTATTCTATAGAATATCGGAATTTAAACTTATCATACTTTGCCAGTTTATATTCTATCCATAGATTAATTTTTAATCGTTTTATATAATGACAGTCAATTTTAAGCATTATATAAAATGCCTAAAGTATTCTATAAAATACCGGAATTTAAATTTAGCATACTTTACCAGTTTGCTATTTCTCATTCTATCCATAGACTGATTTTTAATCATTTCATATTTTGATAGGCAATTTTAAGTATTATATAAAATATCTGAATATTCTATAGAATACCGGAATTTAAACTTAGAGGTTAACAAATATACTTTTAAAAAGTTTTCTATTTTTTTATCTGGTTTCTTATAAATAAATTTTTAAAAGGAAGTTAAAAATTTTCGGAAAGAATTGCAAAATATTATTATAAAACAGTACATTTAAACATTTTACTGCAATAAAAGCATTTTAGCAAAATTGAGCATTTTACCGCAAAATTTTTTTAAACTTCCCATAAAATTTTAAATTATTTATAAATTCAATAATAGATAATTCACTTTAAATAACATTTTGTTACTTTTTAATTAATTCTGAAAGTATTTCAGGGCAAAAAATAAACTTCTGAGCAAAAATAACATTAATTAATTTAGTTATCATAAATATTTTTAAAAGTATTAAGTCCAAATAAAAAAGTAAATATTTAAAAAATAAGTAGTATAGTCAAATAGCTTACTGTGTTCGAGTTTTTGAACCACTCTTATTTCGAGAAACATGTGATTTTCTGTTACAAAACATTTTCTGTTCCGGTTTTATAAACCGTATATTTTTCTTTTGTATTCTTATTATTGTTTCAAGCCATTGATTTACTTATGGTCTATATATGTTGTTTACATTCATTTCAAATCATTGGTAAAGAGAAAAGCTTTTTTCCAATATATAATATCAAAGAAAGCCGACATATAATGCAGACATTTTTGTATTCTTTTGTGCAAGGAATGTCCTGATCAAATTTTGGTAAAGAAGGCTTTCAAGAAAATATCCTTTCAGACTTGCCCAATAATATTATATCCTTTCAACTATTTTTGATATCTTGGATGTTAGAAATAGTCCCTGTAAAAAGGTCTTTAGGTTGTTGCATCCATAAAATACTCTTTCTTTCGACCGAAGATTAAATAAATAAAGTTAGCTTCATTTATATTTGGTTATATAAAATATAAATCTCATATAGAAAATTTATATTAATTCCTCAGAAAACTTAAAATTCGTACATGTTGTTAATTTAAAGACAAAATTTATTTTTCATTTGTTTTTGAATCCATGCGTCTTATAATATATCGTAAATATATTTTTTCAATTTAGATAAATATGTTTCCGATATCTATTTTCAACTGCTTTGTTTTTGTTTTGATTCACTTCTCATGTGTTTTTTTTTTCCAGAAAGAACATTAATTTAATTTAAAGACAAAATATATTTTTATTTTGTTTTTGAATCCATGCGTCTTATAATGTATTGTAAATATATATTTTTTAATTTTGTTAAATATGTTTCCGATATATATTTTCGACGGTTTTGTTCATATTTTGATTCACTTCTCACGTTTTTTTTTTCCAGAAAGAACATTAATTTAATTTAAAGACAAAATTTATTTTTCAGTTGTTTCTGAATCCATGCGTCTTATAATGTATCGTAAATATATATATTTTTTATTTCAGATAAATATGTTTCCGATATCTATTTTTAACCGTTTTGTTTTTGTTTAGATTCACTTCACATGGTGTGTTTTTTCCCCCACAAAGAACATTAATTTAATTTAAAGACAAAATTTATTTTTCATTTGTTTTTAAATCCATGTGTCTTATAATGTATCTTAAATATATTTTTTCAATTTAGATCATTATATTTCCGATATCTATTTTCAACGCTTTTGTTCATATTTTGATTCACTTCACGTGGTGTTTTTTTCCAGAAAGAACNAGTGGTTTTTATTGCTTCGAGGTAAAATTTAAATAGAAAAACTGAAAACAATGGTTTCTTACCTACCCAATGTTTTTATGTCTAGTGCAATAAAATTGATTGACGAATGAATTTATTTATTTTGAATAGTTTAAAACATACATACAGCCACATATTTAGCCAACACATTTTTTACACCAATAGATATTTTCTGTTTCCCATCACTGACCCATCTGTCAAAAAGTTCAAGCTATGTTGTACAAGGTATAGCTATCCGCATGCGGCAAACTAAAGCTAATATAATAAGCGTAGGTATTGTAGTAAGTCATTATCATCAGATTTTTCAAAATTAATGTTTTTCGGTAATAATGTATCGGTTATCATTTGGTAATCTGGCAGGAACTAGGGGGCCCCATTCGATCGCGGGGCCCTGGGCACGTGCCCATAGTGCCCAGTGGGGAAGAGGGGCCTGATACTTACTGACGATAGATTAGAACAAACATCAGTGTAGGGTATACCGGGCAAATGTATACCGGGCAGTGGCACTTGACCTTAAAAAAATATCAGTGTAGAGTATACCGGGCAAATATTTATACCGGGCAGTGGCACTGAACCTTAAAAAAACATCAGTGTAGGGTATACCGGGCAAATGTATACCGGGCAATGGCACTTGACCTTAAAAAAACATCAGTGTAGGATATATCGGGCAATGGCACTTAACCATACCTAGTATGACTAGACCTTTGGTAAATGTCCGAAATATATACTAGGTCTAGTGCCACTTATGCTATAGCTTAAATATTGCTTAATTTTGCTATAGCTTAAATATAAAAAAATAAACAAAGCGTTTGAATCAATTTTAAACTTATAACGAAACTATTGCTTTAAAATTAAAAAATAATAATAAAAACTGCGCCAGATAAGAGTAATTGAAGTAGTTGCTTTATACAGCGCATGTGCGGAAAAAAATTTAAAAAAAAATTATCCATGTGCATCTAAAAGTGGATGAATATCCCAAGACACCCTTATAATGTATAGTAAATATATGTTTTTTCCGATATCTATTTTCAACTGTTTTGTTCATATTTTGATTCACTTCACATGGTATTTTCTTCCCAGAAAGAACATTTATTTAATTTAAAGACAAAATTCATTTTCCATTTGTTTCTGAATTCATGTGTCTTATAATGTATCGTAAATATATATTTTTTAATTTAGATAAATATGTTTCCGATATCTATTTTCAACCGTTTTGTTTTTGTTTAGATTCATTTCACATGGTGTCTTTTTTCTTCCCAGAAAGAACATTAATTTAATTTAAAGACAAAATTCATTTTCCATTTGTTTTAGAATCCATGTGTCTTATAATGTATCGTAAATAGATATATTTTTAATTTAGATAAATATATTTCCGATATCTATTTTCAACCGCTTTGTTTTTGTTTAGATTCATTTCACGTGGTGTCTTTTTTCTTCCCAGAAAGAACATTAATTTAATTTAAAGACAAAATTTATTTTTCATTTGTTTTTGAATCCATGTGTCTTATAATGTATCTTAGATTTATTTTTTCAATTTAGATCATTATATTTCCGATATCTATTTTCAACGCTTTTGTTCATATTTTGATTCACTTCACGTGGTGTTTTTTTCCAGAAAGAACATATTGTTAATTTAAAGACAAAATTTATTTTTAATCTGTTTTTGAATCCATGCGTCTTATAATGTATTATAAATATATATTTTTTAATTTAGATAAATATGTTTCCGACATCTATTTTCAACCGTTTTGTTTTTGTTTAGATTCACTTCACATGGTGTCTTTTTTTCTTCCCAGAAAGAACATTAATTTAATTTAAAGACAAAATTTATTTTTCAGTTGTTTTTGAATCCATGCGTCTTATAATATATCGTAAATACATATTTTTTAATTTAGATAAATACGTTTCCGATATCTATTTTCAACGGTTTTGCTCATATTTTGATTCATTTCACGTGGTGTTTTTTTCGAGAAACAACATGTTGTTAATTTAAAAGCATAATTTATTTTTAATTTGTTTCTGAATCCACGTGTCTTATAATGTATAGTAAATATATGTTTTTTCCGAAGTCTATTTTCAACAGTTTTGTACATATTTTGATTCACTTCGCATGGTCTTTTTTTCTGTTTTCAAAAAGACCTCATTTATTATATATTTTTTGAATCCTTGTTGAAAATGAAAAACAATGCAGAACACAGAGGCTTCCAAACTAATATTTAAGCTGTAAAAATTAAAAAAGATATCGATGATATCTGACAAATCACGATTGTGGAAGTCGGATATAAAAGCATCATAATCTGTTTAATCGCCAGAGGAAACAGGCATTGAAAAACGATTCTTCGAAACACTAGCAACCATTTTCATGTTTTATCTCTTTAAATGTTTTTTAGCATATGTAGATATTTTTCGAAAATTTGATGCCCATTTTTTAACTTGAATTTAATATCAAAAATCTATATCACACCAAAAAATTATTAAAAAAATAACAAATATTCGGCCAAATTATCCTCTCAAATGCAGCTATTAATTATACTATGTAAACAAATCAAAAAAATGTGAAATAATGAAATCCATAGTAGAACCCCTTAAGTGAGGTCAGGGAGCTGATCTCAAGTCAGAAAGGTCCCGGGTTCGAATCCCGGATAAGGCATAGATGTTATTTCCTTCTCTTCTTTGTTCTATATTCTTATTAAGGGAGCAACGTTGGCCCACCTAATATGTTGCCCCTTAGAGAGTGTTCAACAAATTTGCCCTTGAATGGCGAAAGTCAATATCGGAATAGGCATTGAATAAATAAATAAATAAAACTTTCAATATAGGCTACGCAGCCTTCTACAACCCGCCTCATATCATATCTAAATCATCAACTATTTTTGTCCACCTATGCTATAGATATTGAAAAACTAGATTTTTTAAAAAAATTCTATGAAAATTTTTCAGCATGAAGGATTTTTGGATACTTTTACTCCTAATTTTAACTTGAAATTAATATCAATGATCTACCTTATACTAGAAAATTATAAAAATTCAATAAATTAACCCCAAATGGATCTCCTCAAATACATTTATCAACAATATTATGTAAACAAAACAAGGAAATGAGTAATAACGAAATCGAAAGTAGAAATTCTGAAATTTAAGGCTACGCAGCCTTTTATAGCCTGCCTCATATTATATTTGCATAATTAGCTTTTGACCATGATTCGTTTATCCTCGGCGATATTTTATTTCAATCACTAGAACATGTCTTGCCGGAGTAATCTATACATATACGGAGATGCCAACCGGACGCGCCAAAATAATTAAAAGAACGGTAAATAACTGCAAAGCAAATTTTGCAAATATTTGACTATTTTTGCTTGCTTTTTAAAAGGTATAGCATGACTTAAGTACTATAAAGTGGTGAATTATGTAAGCCTACGAATTACTTAGAAATAGTGGTGGATAAAAATGTACTAAATTGAATTTATTAAACCAAGAATCACAATTGATAAACTACCACTTCAAAATATATATTTGCTGTCTGGAGCAAGTTGTCATTTCTGCTTATACCCACAGATCATTTTCTTTTTTCAATGAATCAAAAAAAGAGAGCTGGAAAACTCTTGAGATCATTATCCAGTTCTGAGTTTTGTATTAAGATATCGTGAAGAACTTGCGAATTTTTTGAGAAGATTTATTTTATAACCGTCGTTGAACAGCCGACCCAAGTTTGGATATACGACTACCAATTTTCAATTCCGTATTCTTGGGTAAGGGAACTGCTGGATCAACTATTGGGAGAAAT